CCAATTACCAAGAATCAGGCAAAGTACTATATGCCACACAGATGCACAGCAAAAAATATTACTATTAAGGGTCTTTAAATGACAGCATGAAGGGAATAAATCTGTTGGTTGCTATTTTTCTGTTAAATGCCATTCTGTTGGAGCTTTGGGAGGGAAAAAAAAAAGTGTGTTTAAAATCCTCAGTGTTTTTCTAAGCAAGACAAATTGTTTGAAAGAAATGGTAATTACTACTGTCCCTGTAAGCTTGGGCACCAAGATAAATATGAAGATCTACTTCTGTCCTTTCATTTCTGCTGTGCACTACGTTACATACATCTTTCCATGTGTATTTCCTTGCAAGAAAAGGCATGTCTAAAGAAGATGCCATTATCAATTAATAGTTTTACTGGAAGAGTAAGATATATTTTGATACTACAGTATGGTGCATTCTCTATATCAGGGGTTTGCAAAATTTCACCTGTGAAAGGCCATTTCAAAGGGGCAGTCCTGGTAGCAGAAAGCGCTGAAGAGGCCCCTGGGCCATACTGGAAACTTGAAAAGGAAGAAAAGAAGAGAAGAGAGAAGTACTAGCAGACCATAATGCTCATGAGCCTCATTTGGCCTGCAGGCCACATTTCAGGAGCCTACAGGCTCTATAGGCTACATTTATTATGGAAAAACCTGCCTTAGCGAGTCTGAGAGCATTATTTCCAAAGCCAAATTCTTTAGTTACCATGCAGGTTTCAGAAAGAGCTATAAAAAGTGACCGAAAACAGCAATTTAGGCAGAAAGTTACATCACAACAATATAACCATCACGAGCACAGCCAATTGTTCATTTGCCAAACTGGTTACCCACAGATGGACCAGCAGCCAAAGTTACTCAAAAGACCACATCTGTCCCCGTAACAATGACCTCCCCCTCCACAACCACATTAATCAGGAACTATGAAATTGACAATCACCACAATAATAATAATAATAATAATCACAAAAAGAGATCTGCTTTTTAGAAAGAGGTTTGGAAACTCCTTTCTGAGTATAAACAGCAAAGAATCTCAAATACTTCAGGGCTAAGTGTAAAAAAGTTGCTTCTGTTCTTCAGCAGCTGTTTAAATATTACTCTTTTCACACTATCACTTGTGTTAGCAACTTTCCTCCTTTATCCTTTGACAAGGTAATTATGAGTCACATTCTCACTATAGTAAATAATGACAGAAATAAACTTAGCCTTGGTTTTTGTCTCCAAAGTCCCATTAGATGTTTGAAAGCTGTTGCCTTATTTTCTCAAAAAGATATGGCTCTGTTCATTCAGGGTACCACAACATTCTGCTTTTTCTCCTTCCTTAAGTGATATGCTCTTAAGTATGTGTTAACTCAGGGGTCAGCAACCTCCAGCACATGTGCAGAGCATGGCACGGGAGGCCATTTTGCTTGGCATGCCACAGCTGTGGGTAGCTGCTCCCAGCTACCCAGAGCCAGGCTGCAGCTGGGAGGCTGTGAACAGCTGTGCCAGGCTTCGGAGCCCCAGGAACAGCTCTGTACTGGTGCCTTGGAGCCAGCAGTGGGGGAGGGGCCTGAGGCAGCACAACCCCAGTCTCTCCCCTGCTCCCAGCACAGAGCTGGTAACTGGGCTCTGGAGCCCGGTGCAGCTGTTTCTAGCCCGCCTGGGCTCTGGGCAACTGCAGCAAGCAGGCTGCAAACAGCTACACCGGGCTCTACAGCTCTGGCATCAGCTCCATATACGCAGTCACCATGGAGCTGATGCCAGAGCTGCGGAGGCCGATAAAAATGCAAAATAATTACTAGGAGGGATGACTAAGATATAAGCCAAGAGCAAGATTTGAAATCCATATCGCCTTCAAAAGACAGACAAGATCATAGCCTGCCTCCACAGTGAAAGGAGAAACTGAAAAAAAATTGTTCCCTGTCTCAGGAAGAGAAAGGGATTAAGGAAAGGGGGGCAGGGGAGGTGGTAAGGTCAGGGTAAATATACTGGTTTTAACTTTTTAAAAGAGATAAGTTAAGAACTGTACTACCCAGGGTAGTGATCAAGACACCAGTACTAAAGAAATTAAGGAATAGGTTCACCAGTAGAAATACCATGAGTAATCCTGAACAAGGCACAGAACTTTTTTTTTTCCTGGATCTTTCAACCTCCGACTCCAATTCCTGAAGACGCTAATGTTATCCAGAGACAGTATGTTTTTGATCTGTGAAAATGCTAATTTCCAGAAAATTTCTTAATCCTGAATCTGAATGAAAAAACCCCCACAGAACACATCAATTTTCATGGAAGAGAAGTCCAACAGTATTTCACTTCAGAAATACAAAAACATGACACTTCCAAAATAAAATACATACTCTTCAGAATTTTTGAGTGCCTGCCTGGTGAACCACAGCAGAACTGGAGATGGTGAAGCCCTAACAGCTTGTTGATTAAAATTTGTTGACTCCCACCTAGTTAAGATGAGTCGGTTCAGTTTCACAACTCTTGCCCATCACTGAAACTGGACCTTGGAAGTGTCAGAAAGCATGGCTCTTCAGTAACCTGCCTTGTGGGCTAAAGGCACTTGGAAATCCTGGGAACTAGTTCTCCTAACTGCCTCAGCCAGATGGTGTGAACCCAGGCAGGTGATCTGGCTGGAAGCCAGGCAACTTCCTATCAGAGCATTATTACAAACCAAATCATGGTTTCAGCATCCCCGTGCTTAAAATGTGGTGGCAGGGACGCTTTATCTGAAGCTCATTCAACAAGCTTTACATAAAAGTGCCCCCACCGCCATTTTTAAGCACAGGAACGCTGATGCACAAGATGCTAGAGCGTGGTAATTACCATGATAGAGTCTGCTCCGATGCGCTGTAATTACAGTGCATGGGAGCAGCCTTGCTGCTCATGTATAGGCACCCTAAAGTGTCAAGCATACTTTGATGTGGTGATTTTTAAGTGTTTCATCAGATACTTTTAGAATCTTTAACATTTATATGCAAAACTTAACTTACCCTACACGTTTTCAAGCTGCAGAAATTGCCTTTGTGCCACCATACATTTTTTTTATGGCACCATAAAACCTGAGCTAACAGATGTCTATGTCCTTTGTCATGCCACAAAATGACCAAATTTGTGGTTGTGACAATTCACTGAAATAGTTTTGTGCTCTCCTCCCCCCCCCCCCCCCCCTAGTGAGCGTGGGAAGTCCAGGGCTGCCTGTACTCCTGGGATATGTTCTCAAACTGCCACAGGATTCAGGCCCCTGCCACTCCTAGGAGCTCAACCTGTGGGACAAGTGACATCAGTTTTTTCTAATCAATCAGAACAACTGTGCTTGGACACATCCCAACAGAGCTGATAATGCAATGAGAACTACCTTTATTTTTAGCCTCAGGGTCCTATCTGTTTGCTGAGAAAGGAGGGTTTTACATAACAGTCTTTTCTGTCTGAAAGCTGGGGTAAAGGAAGGGGCTGGAAGTGCAAAATTCCAGTGTGCAACCTGAGTCTCAGGAAGCTGAGAATGGGACAGGAAGCGATATTCCTGACAGCCTGAGGAAATCTCACTAAAAACGGAGCCATAAATGATGGTGATAGTGACTGCATCTCCCAATGTCATTCACTTGCTAGAAAAGAGTCTGCCTAACTTATCTGAAGTACGCTCCTACTGCCTAATTAAGATGGCTCTCTTGTGCCATTCTTCTTTGATCCAAGAGCATAATGTAATGATATATTTATTTTATGTCTAGTAACCTTCCAGGATAAAAATGGAATTTTATTTTAAATGGTTTGAGAGAACTTCTAGCTAATCACTAAGTATTTTGCTTTATTAAAATCTGATTGTATCCATACCTATGTCTCCTACACTGTGTTGTTGGAGAACCTATCGGTCTCACACTTTAGGGGGGAAAAAAAAAAAACCAACAATCCAGTCATTTATGGATTTCAAATGATCTTATGGTATGCTTTCCTTTTAAAGGAAAGGGAAGATAACCCAGCATGGATGGTTCAGGGTCAGTGCAGAACTGGGGAGGAATGGAGAGGTCAAAGATGGCTAGTCCCCGGATCCCAAGCAACCATTCCAGCATGTGGGACCACCAATGTTAGGGAAACCCAGTCATGATCTTTTTCTCAGATAGTAAGAAGGCAGCTGGCAAGTCTGCTGGGACAATAACTGTAGGTCACCCAATGATTTCCCAAAGCAGAGAAATGTTCACTGATGTAGAGAAGTCAGGCTTAAGGCTGTTCTGTTTCAGTAAAGCAGCACAAAGAGCAGCTGGAGCATGGTCACAGCAGAGTTGCCAGAATACTTTTATTTCCTCAAATGACCTATAAAATGCACAGACCACTGCAAATATAGACGGACGGAGGGATGCAAATAAGGTACTCAAGTCTCCAATCGAAAAGTATCATACTTTGCATGTGAGGGTATCAGCAACCACAGGTTAGACAATTCACATAATAAACTTAACTCGCTCACACAATGAAAAAGGAGTAAGCTATCAGAGATGTTCTTAGACTTAACTCTGCAAATAAGGTCTCCCACTTAAATGAACAGGAAGTCTCATAAGTTTCTCTCTTCACCACAAGGCCCTATTAAATTTGAGCCGTCAGTCCCGCCTAAGGCCACGGCAATGAATAAACTAACACATTTAGAAGCTGTGTATGGCGTCAGCCATTTTAGAACATGTGTATGATGCAAGAGCTAGCAACCAAATTGAAAATACTTTTTACTAGGGATGGTGCCAAGTCTTTTATTCTATCACAGGCAGGATGTACCCCTCTCGCTTCCCTTCCATCACCAGTTGTACGTGTGGCCTAAGCAAGGAAGGCTGTGCAGGCAGAGGTGATTCCTGCCCTTGGGATGCTGCCTGAGAGATTTTTCCTGCAGCAAGGGTGGGGTTAGGCAGACAAGGCGGCAAGAAACACACACACACACAAGGCACCTTGAAAAAGGGAACAGTGAAAGGAAGTCAGCTAAACTCGCAAGCCACGCTTGCACGTGTGCGTTACACCGCGACATTGCCCGTTACCTTGCAAGGCAAGCAAGTAGCCATAGGTCTGGGGCTGAACCCGTGTCTTTACGCCGCACGTTTCTACAGCGCCGGGCACCTGGGAACGACGGGAACAATACCCCACGCGTCGGGCCCCACACACGTGCGCCAGTCCCCTCAGCTCTCCCTTTCTTCCGCCTCAAACAAAAACAAGCCAGGAGGAAACTGCCCAACCCGGGTGAAACCGCCTACAGGCAGCCCCGCAGCGAGAAGCCAGGCCCGGCCCTCGCAGGCATCTGGGGGGTTTCCGCCCACGGGTGAAAACACCGCACAGCCGGCCGGGCATCATCTGAATGCCAACAAGGAGGGGGCATGGCGGAGGCCTACCCAAAACTTCCTCTGCAATGATGGGGGGGGGGGGAAACCCGCGTGCCCCGCGCGGGCCGTCTGAGGG